ATACAAATTCATTTTAAAAACTTTTTACGAAACTTTGTAGATTTTCTCTAAATCTCTATATATCTGTGGTCAAAAGCAATAAGCGCTTAAGTCAAAAAACCTGAATTCGAGAAAAACGTTTTAAACATTTAAATATAGGGCAACCAAAATATGTACGTCTAAAATTTTTCAAATAGTGTAGCTGATGAAATGTGGATTTGACAAAACCATGCAATACGATAGCAAATATAACTCAATTCTTTTCTACGTCGCTTTTGACCCCAAGATATATAAAACTGGATATTGGTTTGTGTGGACTCTATAGACGTCGATAACGTACAACCAATTGTGGAGAAGAAGATTTAACTTAATTATATGCAAGTTATGTGAAATACTAAAATGCGGATGCCTTTTATATTTAGAATAGGGTTGTCACCTGTATGAAAAGTCGGATTTAATTCAGTTGTACAGAAGACATTTTTAAAATGTGTGTGTCAAACGGATCGTCTAGGCGTGGAAAAAAGTTTACAGCTATATTTTTAAGAGGGTTGCCGGCTGTGTGTAAAAGTCGAATTTAACGGTATTATACACAAGTTTGTAATATGTATATAAAACATTAAAATATTGGCGTCCAACGAAAATTGATTAATATTTTTCAGGGTTGCCGCCTATTTTAAGAGTTAAATTCGAAATGGCTTAATTTCAGGCTACAAGTAGAAGGGTTGCCAGAGTGTCAGAGAAAAGACGGTCAAGAAGGTTGTAGTTTGAAAATATTTTCAAGAGGTTAGCCACCTGTTTGAAAAGTCGACTTTATTTAAATTATGCATAAGTTCTATGAAATATTAAAACATGAGCGTCAAAAGAAAGAGTGCTAAGAATATTTTATAATTGGTATACACGTTTTTGCAATATATTCCCTTTATTTAGGCAGACAAAACCATTCAATTGTGTGACCGGTTTACATATCGTTCATTACAGCAGTGCAAATTATTTAAATCGGTGCTTTATAAGGTATATCTTCCATACCACCGATTGTTCAAATGTGACTTTTTTTATATAACTCCTTTGTCTATGTATACAATAAAGGCAAAAATTGTGTAAAGCACCCAAACAACTAAATAAAAATGCATTAACAGTAAAATTTCCTGATGTTCATGAAAGGTACTAGAGTTCACTCTGTGAACGGTTGGGCGAAAGTGCGAAAATCGTCAGTTTTTTTTTCAACAAATATATGGCACTGTTATGGGATCGTTTCCCACAAACGCACAGCAAAGCCACAAAACAAACGCAAATTTTTGCCTTTCGCATCAAAGAGTGAACGCTACTAGTACTTTCCTTACTAATTTTATATGAAGTTTGAAACTTTAATTTATGTTGTGGTTTTGGTTACGACAGGAATAATCTAATATATAACAAGTAAGAAAGTCTAAGTTCGGGCGGAGCCGAACATTA